TCGACGCTGCACACGGTCGCGCTCCAGAACGTTCTGATTTCGCTCGTGGCGCTCCCCGGGTACCGTATGTCGCGTGCTTCTTCATCAACAAGATGGGCCGCAAGCGCATCATGCTCCAGGGCTGCACGGTCATGACGGTCGTCTTCCTCATCCTCGGCATTTGGTGGGACGAGATCAAAAAGTCCAGCGCCGGCTTCATCGTGCTCTTTGGCTTGACGCTCTTCTTTGCCAACTTTGGCCCCAACATGTCGACGTTTGTGATGCCCACGGAGATGTACCCGACGGCCATCCGCAGCTCGTGCCACGGCTTCTCGGCGGCCATGGGCAAGGCCGGCGCGTCCATCGGCTCGTACGGCTTCTCGCTATGGGTCGACAACCCGAGCTTTGGCTACGTCGGCACGTGGTTTACGTTCGCAGGCATCTCCGTGCTCACGATCGTCCTCACGGTCTTTTGCATGTTTGACAACAACGACGAGGCGAGCGTCATGGACAACGACTTCAAGGCCAAGCTCGCGATGGAAGACGACGACGTGCGCAAGTCGTTTGTGAGTCAGATGGAAGAGCCGATCAACGCTGACGACATCGGCACCAAGGCGTAGACAACTTGTGCATTTATATACATTTTGTACATTCTTGGATCGTTCTCATTTGCCGACCTGCAGAGGTATCCGGATGTGATCGGATGCAGCCCGTCTCGTTCGAAATCTATGGACGAAGTAGCACGTCTTGGCTGCGTTTGAGTGCAGGAACGACCAAGCGCGCTATGACTACTTGGCGCGTGGGGTCCACCACATTTCTCCGTATTACATTGACATAAAAAGCCTGGGTAGTATGTCGCAGCTTCCTCCAACGACCACGGACTCATGCTGTACGTAGCTCTACGCAACTACGTTTGAAAGTCTCTAAATTGGCAGTGCTCCTCTTTGATGTCAACGCCCAGACACAGTTGATGGACTGACATATCAAGTCGATTTCGTGTATCCACAGTGTCGGAAAAAAGTTCAGAAATGGTGTCCTTGCACAGAGTCGCCAGCGTTGGTGCCAGGTGCGAGTCTGTTGCTAGCAGGTTCGACGTTGCACACTGTACTCTTCCTGCATCAACGGGATCTCGCACGAACGTTCGGCGCTCGGAGACCTCCAAGTTTCTTGGCGTGTAGCCAAGCGTTGCGGCGGCTAAAAATATGGGCCCGTATCCGGCCCGTCCCAATATATATTCGCGTTGCCAAGCAATATGCCAACGCATCACGCGAAGCAACGATACCGACATATACCGGCGAGATGACGCAGGGGCGCACGCAGCAGTATATTCATTTATCTATGCATGATGCTATCGAGATTCTCTTGGCGCTTGGAGCGCGAGGGGCGTGTTGTTGAAGAGCATTGCAATGGCCACCGTGCGTCGGGTGGGGTGTCCGGATACCGACGCGCGGTTCAATATTAATATATGAATATTTTTGAATATTTTTAAAAACGTATTTTTAGCGATCTTGCCGTTTAGGGGCAGTTTGCATTTCCACGGCCGAGACGAAGATGAACATGCAGAACATGAAGTGCGTGGTCGTCGGCGACGGCGCCGTCGGCAAGACATGCGTGCTCATCTCGTACACGACCAACGCATTCCCAGGCGAGTACATCCCGACTGTCTTCGACAACTACAGCGCCAACGTCATGGTCGACGCCAAGCCTGTGAACCTCGGGCTCTGGGACACGGCCGGCCAAGAAGACTACGACCGGCTGCGGCCGCTGAGCTACCCGCAGACCGACGTGTTTTTGATCTGCTTTAGCGTCGTGAGCCCGGCCTCGTTCGAGAACGTCAAGGCGAAATGGTACCCGGAGATCCAGCACCACGCGCCCGGCGTACCCTTCATCCTCGTTGGCACCAAGCTCGACTTGCGCGAAGACGAAGACACGGTCGAGCGCCTGAAAGAGAAGCGGTCGGCGCCCGTCACGCACGAGATGGGCGAGGCCCTCAAGAACGAGCTCGGCGCGTTCAAGTACCTCGAGTGCTCGGCGCTGACGCAGAAGGGCCTCAAGCAGGTGTTTGACGAGAGCATCCGCTGCGTCCTCCAGCACCAGAAGAACCCGAAGAAGAAGCGCAGCCACTGCACGATCCTATAGACACACTTAATGCCTTATCTATATACACTACGTCGCTTATGTACTATTATGTCTACGCCAAGGCTGCATACACCGCCCCGTGCATGGATCGCTGGGTAGATAGATGCGTGGATATACCGATAGTATCGACGACGATGGATCGCGCGTCCGGCCAGGATGGCTCTAAGATCGTCGACTAAGATGCCATCAGATTGGTTGCATCGCCATATTGGTGGTCCGTCGATCAAGATGGCGCCGCCGTATTGCACGAAGATGGAGGTTACGCGGTGTATTTTAGAGGCGCCGTGTGCTTCTATTTAAAGCCGACGGACGGTTTTTGTCGGTAACATGTACCGGTTGCTGGAATTATTTGACTTGGGGTTTGTGAGTGGATACTTTAATCAAGTCTAACCCGACCACTTGCTATAAATAGATCGTCTCTTGAAGTTTGTATGAAGCGGTGGTTGCTCGACTCGACGACGGTTCATTCGCGGCTTTTCCCGGTATGATTCACACCACGGGCGGGGGTGGCTTCGCCACGACGACGCAGGACCTCGTCAAGCTCATTGAGACACCCAAGGAGCACTTTGGCGAGCACCTCGCGACGCTCGGGGGTATCGAAGGCATCGCAGCCACGCTCAAGTCGTCCTTGGTCGCAGGCCTCGACAGCAACAATGCGCAAGACCTGCAGGCGCGCGAGGACGTGTTTGGCCGCAACTACATTGAGCCCGAGAAGCCCGCGACGATTCTTGAGCTCATGTGGGAAGCCTTTCACGACTCTACGATCATCGTACTGACCATCTCGGGCACGGTCTCGACCATCCTGGGATTTACGGTGCCACACGAAGGCGGCACCGGGTCTGACTGGGTTGAAGGAGCTTCGATCCTTGGCGCTGTCTTGCTCGTCATCACCGTCTCGGCTGTCAACGACTACCAGAAGGAGAAGCAATTCGCGGCCCTCAACGCCATCAAGGAGGACGAGAAGATCAAGGTCATTCGCAACGGCGTGCCCGCCGAGGTCTCC